ATTCCTCGTCTCAAAATCCGGTTTGTTTATATCTGGAAATGGGGTTCAAAGCGTGAGGTTTCTCCAACCCCACCATTGGCCTCTCTACACCACCCCACCCCTGGCCTGCCTCACACCACCCCCCACCCCTGGCCTCTCCACACCTATCGCCCCAGAGGGCGGCTCTTATCTAAATGACAGTGTATATGTTTATGTCCGCGTTTGACACAGACGGAAATATCACTGTTGGAGTAGTGTTTCTCGCCGCCAGCTGCGGGCGAGTGGTGCTTCTCACTCCTCACTCTTCCTCATCTTCCTCATACCTCATCTTCCCCCCTCCTCATTCCTCCTCCTGAGACATCATTAGGCAGTGATGTGGTGGAGGCTGACTCTATACACAGTTTCAAACGTAGATATGATACAGCCCAATAGGCTCAGGAACCTGTACACCAGTTGATTGACAGTTGAGAGGCGGGACCAAAGAGCCAGAGCTCAACCCCCGCAAGCATAACTAGGTGAGTACACTCCCCCCCCCCCACAGCATTGAACAGCCAATCGGTTGAACATTGAATGACGGGGTTTAATGCCATTTGTTTAATTCTTTGTTGTATTTGTCGTTGTTAAATTAACTGACCTGCTATAGGCTATACGAGATAGTTTAAATGATTAAACTAAATTAGTGATTAATGATTGATTAATCATTAATTAATTAGGGGTGATTAATTAGACCGGTCAGAAGTAACGAGGAGTTTATCCTGATGGGTCTGCTGGAGACTGTACCAGTCTGCTGGAGACTGTATCAGTCTGCTGGAGACTGTACCAGTCTGCTGGAGACTGTACCAGTCTGCTGGAGACTGTACCAGTCTGCTGGAGACTGTACCAGTCTGCTGGAGACTGTACCAGTCTGCTGGAGACTGTACCAGTCTGCTGGAGACTGTACCAGTCTGCTGGAGACTGTACCAGTCTGCTGGAGACTGTACCAGTCTGCTGGAGACTGTACCAGTCTGCTGGAGACTGTACCAGTCTGCTGGAGACTGTACCAGTCTGCTGGAGACTGTACCAGTCTGCTGGAGACTGTATCAGTCTGCTGGAGACTGTATCAGTCTGCTGGAGACTGTATCAGTCTGCTGGAGACTGTACCAGTCTGCTGGAGACTGTATCAGTCTGCTGGAGACTGTATCAGTCTGCTGGAGACTGTACCAGTCTGCTGGAGACTGTATCAGTCTGCTGGAGACTGTACTAGTCTGCTGGAGACTGTACCAGTCTGCTGGAGACTGTATCAGTCTGCTGGAGACTGTACCAGTCTGCTGGAGACTGTACCAGTCTGCTGGAGACTGTATCAGTCTGCTGGAGACTGTACCAGTCTGCTGGAGACTGTACCAGTCTGCTGGAGACTGTATCAGTCTGCTGGAGACTGTACCAGTCTGCTGGAGACTGTACCAGTCTGCTGGAGACTGTATCAGTCTGCTGGAGACTGTACCAGTCTGCTTGAGACTGTACCAGTCTGCTGGAGACTGTATCAGTCTGCTGGAGACTGTACCAGTCTGCTGGAGACTGTATCAGTCTGCTGGAGACTGTACCAGTCTGCTTGAGACTGTAATGTGTTGATAAATGTAAACAAAGCCACCATGATTGAGATGTGGTACAAAGATGTACAGGTTTCGTAAGCGGTTGACAAATCCTGGCCCCCTGGGAACTGGTTATCTTGAGGTAATCTTGAGATGATTTCGGGTCCTTAGCGTCCCCGCGGCCCGGTCCTCGACCAGGCCTCCTTTGATAGCCGCAGTTCTCTGATTTCTTCTGCCTGTCCTAACTTTAAATATTCTAACACAGGATTGGTGATTGGGGATTGGGGATTGGTGATTGGGGATTGGTGATTGGTTCGGGGTTCCCAATCACGCTTCAGCTAGTCTCTTCCTCCCTGGCGGTTACATATAGCCTGTGAAGGCCTGTGTGTGTGTGTCAGACGGGATCTGTAATATATGGGGAAAGTTAGATAGCATTGGGTACATAGTTGAACCCGCTATCCTAGTGCCCCTTGATCCAACTACTGCCAGGGTGCTGGTGAAGCCACTCGAGTCCCAGCGTCGTCTAGGGCGCTCGTCTTACTGGAGGGTGTACGGTAGAGGGTGATTCTAGCCAGGGTTCGAGCCCCAGCGGTGTCTAGGTGGATAAAAATTGAGTTGTTATACCTGGAGTGGGTTCTGGGAGTTGTCCCTAATGCGAGGATGCGCTGTGGCCTTTATGGTGATACACAATAAGGACGTTTGTCAAAGTTTAGCAACTGCTCTGCCGAAAGAGTTATCTACACACACACACACACACACACACACACACACACACACACACACACACACACACACACACACACACACACACCGTTGTGTCTCACACAGTCAACACACAACTATTTGATTAACAATTGAGAGCCGGGACCAAAGAGCCAGAGCTCAACCCCCCCCGCAAGCACAACTAACATGGAATTGTGTGACTTAGTAACATGAAGAGTCCCGCGTTAAAGAAATGCGGCGAAGGCAGAATGGCGCCTTAGGTAGGGTAATTAGTCAGACCAATTGATTTGTCAGCCGTGAAAGACTGCAGGGATTAGAGCCAGCCCTCCGGGTCATTTCCAGACTCCCTAACTTAATCACAGAGGAGGAGTGAAGGGCCTTGGAAAGGAGGATAGTAAGCCTAGCCAGTCGTTTAGGCTCGCCACCACATGCCCATCCAAGGGCACTATCGACTCTAAAGGTCTCTGCTGTTAAGCAGCTTCTAGTCTCGTCCTCTTCGCGATCGCCATTTTTTTTCCTAATTTTCCCATCTTTGACAGTCTTAAGGGGAGAATTGCAATTTCCTTTCTGTGATAACTTTTGAATTAGTTCCTCGGGTTTTTTCCCCCCCTTAAGGAGGTGTGTATCCAGGTGTGAAATCATTTTAGAATATTTTCCCCTGACATCGATAGGTGTCGTGTCAATTATGGTGTGTCTTGACCAAGGATTCACAGACCTGTGCCTGTTGGCAGAAGGTTTCAAGGTGGCAGTTGAAGTGTTTCATGACCAATGTCAGAGTTGCTATTTGCCTGTGCTTGAAGCGTCGTAAAAGGTACGATGAAAAGACCCCCCCCCCCAGACAGCCAGGCAAGGAAGGGTTAGACCCTATCCTACTCAATCTCCATCCTCATCCTGTATTTCTAATCTCACTCCCCCCTTCCTCCACCTTACCCAATCCTGTGGTCAGGTCAGCAAAGCTAAATACCCCCAGCTGATGATTGGTTGGGGACGTGGCCTAACCGCTTCCCACCTTCCTACACACACACACACACACACACACACACACACACACACACACACACACACACACACACACACACACACACACACACTCACTCACTCACTCACTCAACTGTCAGTTGATTGACAGTTGAGAGGCGGGCCGAAAGAGCAAAGCTCAACCCCCGCAAACACAACTAGGTGAATACAACTAGGTGAATACACACACACACACACACACACACACACACACACACACACACACACACACACACACACACACACACACACACACACACACACACACACACCACCCCTATCTACGTCTCTAGGCTTAAATATGATTCATTCTACGCAAATTCTCAATACAAGGAAAATACTTATATTTGCAATGACATTACTCCAGTAAACCCCAGCCGGCTACAGTACATCCCAGCAGGCTACAGTACATACCAGCCGGCTACAGGGCGTTTAAGATAACCAGACCGCCTCCCCCAAGGTTATCTTGAGATGATTTCGGGGCTTTAATGTCCCCGCGGCCCGGTCCTCGACCAGGCCTCCACCCCCCAGGAAGCAGCCCGTGACAGCTGACTAACACCCAGGTACCTATTTTACTGCTAGGTAACAGGGGCATAGGGTGAAAGAAACTGTAAGAGAAAGAAACTTTCTCGCCGGCTCGAACCCGGGATGGAACCCGGGACCACAGGATCACAAGTCCAGCGTGCTGTCCGCTCGGCCGACCGGCTCCCTCCAAGCAACAAAACACTATATAGTGACTAAGAAGCTCCACCCACCTCCTACTCTTTAATTAAAAGCACTTTCGTCTGACAAAGTGGCCGCATCATCGCGCGCCGTAACTCACGTTTCACTTTTGTCTCCAGCGGCCGCATCATCCGGTGCCGGCGACGTATTGCTCGTTACACCGGATAAAATAATGAAAGATGAAGGATATTCTCGGGAGGAATTACAATCTCCTGTCGCAAATGAGGCCAGTTTGGTTGGGGTAAGTGGTCTCCGTCCCTGAGGTCGTATAACTGGGTGTTGTCTGTGGTGGGTAATGGCTTCTTCCTCTGATGTTTCTGCCAGTGTGGGTAATCTGTGGTGGGGGGTGGTTCTGTGGGGTTGTGGTGGTTGTGGTGGGGGTTGTGGTGGTTGTGGTGGGGGTGGGCATGTGTGTGTTTGTCAGTATTATACAGCAGTTGTATACTGTATGCAACAATAATTATCGGTTATTCATGCCTGAAACACGATAGTCTGAACCATTTTAGAGTTTCAGTGTCGTCATTACAGTGCCTCTATCACCCGTGTGTTGCTGTGTTAGTCTTAATTAACTTCGTAATGTATTTCTGTGATCCCAGCACAAGTCTGCTGGCACTGGGGCCACAACACTGGCTCTGTACACCTGCTACAACACCTGTCTCTATATATAGCCACCTCTGAGGCTATATACACCTGGCTCCACGTACAACACCTGTATCTCACATCAGAAGAAAAAAACAGACATTACTCGCACTAAATCCGGTCCGGAGGCTTCTACTGTCAACAGAAAACGGAGAATAACAGCAAAAATACAGGACCCACTCAAGATATATTTAAATGTTATTGGTGGTGTGTGCTGAGGTCTGGAGATGGTTGGCCTTGGGAAGGGTTCCGGAAGATGGAACAGGACAGTTTGGGGATGAGAGGGAGTGGGAAGGGAGGCTGGTAGGGGCAGCGTACACAAGGAGTTGTAACCCGTTTCTTTTCCGGCAGGTCGGAGCACGAATAAATGGCGACCAGAGGGCATGATGAGCTCTCAGGACAAGTGCCGGCTCTTCTCAGAACCCAATCAGGAAGCAATGGAGTTCTACAGCCCACTCTACCCCAACCAGTACCCTAACGACACCGAGTGTATCCTCAGACTCGAAGGTAAGGTCACCCTCCCCAACGCCACCTTATTTTGCTATGTTTTCGGGGCTTAGCGTCCCCCGCGGCCCGGTCCTCGACCAGGCCTCATTTTTGGTACATATCCCCGTGGAAGCAGCAGTCCATAGCAGCTGTCTAAACTCCCAGGTACCTGTTTAATTTACTGCTAGGTGAACAGGCGCATCAGGGTGGAAAGAAATTCTGCCAATTTGTTTCCGCTTGCGCCGGGGAGTGTGAGAGTGTGTGTGTGTGTGTGTGTGTGTGTGTGTGTGTGTGTGTGTGTGTGTGTGTGTGTGTGTGTGTGAGAAGGTTGGGATTGAGAGGAAGCACATGTGTGGGTGCCATTGTGGAGAGGCTAAAATGGACAGAACACGTGCGTGCGTGCGTGTGTGAGGAGGCTGGGAAGGAGAGTGCGCGCGTGCATGCATGCGTAACATATTAATAAAAAATTAAAACACCGTAATACTAACGCACTCTACGCATGGGCCTCGACACGCCAGGTTAAAGTTGGTCAGGTTCCCACGTTTTGTTAGGCACAACAGTCGCATTTTTGACGGAGTGGCAGCTTGAGAGATTGGGGTGACAGGTGGGCCCGTTGTCCCAGCCTCTTCTCTCAGTTCGCTACTCCATAAAAACGCAAAATTTTGCATAACTTTGAAGCAAGCGAACCCCCCCCCCCCCTCTTAACCTATTCATAGAAAACGTTAATATCGCGGCGCTTAAAAGTTTTGCTCTTGGGTTAAAACTGTTAAAATGCGCCGTAATGACCGAGATGGCATGCAATAAACATGCAACAGTGTGCAACAACTGCATTTGTCAAGTTTCTACCCCGAGTGCCTTCAATTTGTTATCCCCAAGTCAAGTTTAATAGGTATTTGCATAGTGCAGCCATGCGAGGCTTGGCGGGGCGCTGGAGGGGAAACTGTGACATATTCACGGCTCTCACGTACCGCCCTCGACCGTGTTGTCTGGGGACATTTTATATTGCCTACAGATTTGCCGGAGAACTTTCTCACATTTCCTTTGCTGCCGTCGGGGACGAGGCAGTTTACATGTGTGAACCTTGGTTGTAAACTTGTTTAAATACAATACTTCTGCTCCTGTTCTGGGTCTTCCAAAAGGCGCGCTTTGTGTGTTGTCTCGGGCCTGCTTATCCTCATAGATCCCTTCCAAGATTGATTGATTGATTGATAAAGATTAAGCCACTCAAAAGGTGGCACGGGCATGAATAGCCCGTAAGTGGTGGACCTTTTGAGCCATTACCAGTATCAATAGATGATACTGGAGATCTGTGGAGGTGCGACTGCACCCTGCGTGACGGGAGATGTCTCCCGTGATCCCTTCCAAGTGCTATATATTGGTTCTGGTTGGTGGATTCTCTTGTTAAAATCTTACCTCTCTGTTGACCAGACCACACACTAGAAGGTGACGGGACGACGACGTTTCGGTCCGTCCTGGACCATTCTCACAATCAACTTCGACTTGAGAATGGTCCAGGACGGGCCGAAACGTCGTCGTCCCTTCACCTTTTAGTGTGTGGTCTGGTCAATATACTTTAGCCACGTTATTGTGACTCATCGCCTGCATCTTATCTCTCTCTCCCTCCCTCCCAGCCAAGTATGACCACGTGATCCGTATAGATTTCCGGGACTACTTCGAAATGGAGCCCTCTTCACATCCGTGCGAGTTCGACTACCTGGAGGTCCGAGACGGCGCCCACGGCTACTCTGACCTGATAGACAAGTACTGCGGCTCCAAGTTCCCGCCCATCATCACCTCCAAGGACAGACACCTGTGGCTGAGGTTCAAGTCAGACGAGACCATAGAGTACAAGGGCTTCAGGGCCGTCTACCAGTTTATCAAAAATAAAGGTGAGTGTTCTGGGGTCTGTTGTGTGTGTTTCCGCGCCTGGTAAACACAGCTGGGGAGGTGTTGTGTACGGTCTTATGGGACACCACGTCCCTCTCCCTCTGTCTGTCTGTCTCTCTCTCTCTCTCTGTCTCTCTCTCTCTCTCTGTCTCTCTCTCTCTCTCTGTCTGTCTGTCTCTCTCTCTCTGTCTCTCTCTCTCTCTCTCTCTCTCTCTTTCTCTTTCTCTCTGTCTGTCTATCTGTTCCTTCCTTCTTTCCTTCTTTCCTTTGTTCGGGTCCACTCCATAAGGTTACATATTTATTATTAGTTTGAATACAAAACCATTGTGATGCAGGTGACGCTGGACCTTGGAGTTAGTAATGTAAAGGTAGCGACAAATGTTGAATTGTGTTCCAGTCATTAGCTTGGCTTTTATCAAGTACATAGACCTGAAAGTGTGTGTTTAGGGGTCAAAGGTCGAGGTCACAAGCGACCTTACAGTTTTTTTTCTCCGTCGTGGACGTGATTGGTGCTGGACACGTTTCGCTGGAGGCCATAGAGCCACGATGCCACCGACCTGGCAGTCTCCGTTCCTTCCATGTCTCCTCTACGTCCTTATAGATTTCTTGTAGAATTGTGATTTCTGTGTGTAATGAAGTAAGTGCGAAGAGGGAGAACGGAATTTTGACATAGCTTGGATGCAGGGGGGAGTTGTGTAAAACCCTGGTTTGTGTCTCGGAGAGGAGCCGGTCGGCCGAGCGGACAGCACACGGGATTTGTGATCCTATGGTCCCGGGTTCGATCCCAGGCGCCGGCGAGAAACAATGGGCAAGAGTTTCTTTCACCCTATGCCCCTGTTACCTAGCAGTAAAATAGGTACCTGGGTGTTAGTCAGCTGTCACGGGCTGCTTCCTGGGGGGTGGAGGCCTGGTCGAGGACCGGGCCGCGGGGACACTAAAGTCCCGAAATCATCTCAAGATAACCTCAAGAGGTTGCAGGATCCAGTAAATTCAGTAGAACTTCGGGTTCAACTCCTTTTGACCATGTCGTAGCTCAGTCGATTAAGGCAGTATCTGAGATGCTCTCGGACGCAGGTTCGAATCCTCGTCACGGCCCCTTGTGGATTTGTTAACTTGTACATTTGTAGTCATTTTTGTTTAAAGTTTTGTGATTTCATAATAAAATTTAGTTATAGTTCCAATTTAAAGTTGGTAACCCCACCACATTTTTTTTTTAAATTTCTTAATGTTTGCTCCACGTAAGGTGAGGCAGAAATAGGGATGGTGTCCGATAAGGGTGAAAATAACCGCAAGGCCAGTATGGTCACCGCCACTGGGGCTCATCACAGGTATATATATATATCACTGTGTTGCCCATATTCGCCACGGGAAAATATTCCAGCTTAATAAACAAATGTTTTAATCACTGCAGAATGTTTGGTTTGAATATTCAGGACGAAGGGGGGGGGGTAGAGAACGACATAAAAATATTAAATTTGCTTGCTCTCTCTCCCACCCAATTCCTGGCGGGACGCCCCTGGCTAAATATGATAAAGGGCGCGTTTTAGTGTTGCAGAGTTATTTTGTAACACATTTTGCAGGGGTTGTCTCCCTGTTCTGGATGGCAGAAATGTGTGAATTTTTTTGTGTTCTTCAGTAGAGATGGTTAGCAACACTGGTGAGTGTGTCACAACACTGGTGAGTGTGTCACAACACTGGTGAGTGTGTCACTGGTGAGTGTCTCACAACACTGGTGAGTGTGTCAAAACACTGGTGAGTGTCTCACAACACTGGTGAGTGTGTCACAACACTGGTGAGTGTCTCACAACACTGGTGAGTGTGTCACGACACTGGTGAGTGTGTCACAACACTGGTTGGTGATGCGGGTCTCACCACACCACGGTGACAAGTGGCACTCAGTGCTGCCATCGGGTAGAGAGACACAGGCACTCAATACAAGATGTGTCCACCCCTCCCTCCATGTGTCTGGTGCGTGTCCACCCCCCACAACTTGTGTGTCTCACCACCACCACCTCACGTGTCCTACAGTGCCCTGGGGACCAGAGCTCTGTCTCCATATATACTTCACTGGTAGATATAGATCAGGTAGACTCACCACTTGACTGACAATCGAGAGGCGGGACCCAAGAGCCAGAGCTGTTGCCCGCCCTCTGGGGTACATACCTACAACTCCCCTCGTTTTCCCTATAATGCCCTTTCTCTCACATATATCCTGCCGCCCTCCTTTCCCCTCAGGTTAACGTCTCCCCTTACCTGTAAGCGTGACAAATAATCTTAGTATACGGCAGGACTATGGACTCCGCTGCCCTGGACCCCTCTCGCGGGGCATCGCATATGTTGATCTTGATATGGAAGGGGTGAGAGAGAGAGAGAGAGAGGGGGAGGGGTCAGTGGGTAGGGACAAGTGAAGGATGCTGATTACACCTGCCCAGCGTCCCTCGTTTTTCCCCTCTCACCTGCCAGGGGATCCCCTCGTTCTGTGTCTATACAGCTTTCTCATCTTCCTATGCCTCCCGGCTCTTCCGCTTTGCTCATATTTTTCATGTTAAAACAGAAACACACACACCAGGAACCTCAGGAACCTGTACATTAGTTGGTTGATCGTTGAGAGGCGGGACCAAAGAGCCAGAGCTCAACCCCCGCAAGCACAACTTGGTAAGTATATACACGCACACACACCTAGATGGATCTCACACGTTTGAGCAGGTACATTGTTTATCAGGATTTCGTTACCAGTGTGTGGCATAGAGCAGCTGTAGGACTCTGTAGTGTGTGGCATAGAGCAGCTGTAGGACTCTGTAGTGTGTGGCATAGAGCAGCTGTAGGACTCTGTAGTGTGTGGCATAGAGCAGCTGTAGGACTCTGTAGTGTGTGGCATAGAGCAGCTGTAGGACTCTGTAGTGTGTGGCATAGAGCAGCTGTAGGACTCTGTAGTGTGTGGCATAGAGCAGCTGTAGGACTCTGTAGTGTGTGGCATAGAGCAGCTGTAGGACTCTGTAGTGTGTGGCATAGAGCAGCTGTAGGACTCTGTAGTGTGTGGCATAGAGCAGCTGTAGGACTCTGTAGTGTGTGGCATAGAGCAGCTGTAGGACTCTGTAGTGTGTGGCATAGAGCAGCTGTAGGACTCTGTAGTGTGTGGCATAGAGCAGCTGTAGGACTCTGTAGTGTGTGGCATAGAGCAGCTGTAGGACTCTGTAGTGTGTGGCATAGAGCAGCTGTAGGACTCTGTAGTGTGTGGCATAGAGCAGCAGTAGGACTCTGTAGTGTGTGGCATAGAGCAGCTGTAGGACTCTGTAGTGTGTGGCATAGAGCAGCTGTAGGACTCTGTAGTGTGTGGCATAGAGCAGCTGTAGGACTCTGTAGTGTGTGGCATAGAGCAGCTGTAGGACTCTGTAGTGTGTGGCATAGAGCAGCTGTAGGACTCTGTAGTGTGTGGCATAGAGCAGCTGTAGGACTCTGTAGTGTGTGGCATAGAGCAGCTGTAGGACTCTGTAGTGTGTGGCATAGAGCAGCTGTAGGACTCTGTAGTGTGTGGCATAGAGCAGCTGTAGGACTCTGTAGTGTGTGGCATAGAGCAGCTGTAGGACTCTGTAGTGTGTGGCATAGAGCAGCTGTAGGACTCTGTAGTGTGTGGCATAGAGCAGCTGTAGGACTCTGTAGTGTGTGGCATAGAGCAGCTGTAGGACTCTGTAGTGTGTGGCATAGAGCAGCTGTAGGACTCTGTAGTGTGTGGCATAGAGCAGCTGTAGGACTCTGTAGTGTGTGGCATAGAGCAGCTGTAGGACTCTGTAGTGTGTGGCATAGAGCAGCTGTAGGACTCTGTAGTGTGTGGCATAGAGCAGCTGTAGGACTCTGTAGTGTGTGGCATAGAGCAGCTGTAGGACTCTGTAGTGTGTGGCATAGACTCTGCCAGAGTCCACATGTTGTTCTTGTATTAGATTTCGCTACTCGGAACGAAATGTCCCTGTAGCACGGGCTATGGCGATCCCGTTATTAAGTTGGGTTACTCACGATAACCTTGTATGGGTAACTTGAGGGTAGTGTTCCAGCCGGCTCCTGGGTGGTGTTCCAGCCAGCTCCTGGGTGGTGTTCCAGCTGGCTCCTGGGTGGTGTTCCAGCCGGCTCCTGGGTGGTGCTCCAGCCGGCTCCTGGGTGGTGTTCCAGCCGGCTCCTGGGTGGTGTTCCAGCCGGCTCCTGGGTGGTGTTCCAGCCGGCTCCTGGGTGGTGTTCCAGCAGGCTCCTGGGTGGTGTTCCAGCAGGCTCCTGGGTGGTGTTCCAGCCGGCTCCTGGGGGCCGGCTGGAGCACCGGGCATCGATAACGACCACTCTTCGAACCACGACCCTGTAAACGCCTCACCCACGTACTACAAGTACAAATAGTCGTCAACAGCACCCAGACACCCTAAGCTAACCTACGTCTAAGTACACATAAAACTTTAATGAATAATAATAATATTAATTTATGTGAAGAAATCTGTATACACAGTGTGTTACAATTGATGAATGTGTCTTGGGGTAACGGCCGCTGCTTTAACGAGCCTGGTCTGAGGACAGGGGTGAAAACCCCCAACCTTCCTCCACTCTCTCCCATGCGTGTGGCTGGTCTGGGGGAGGGGGGGGGGTCCTTGAGGTGGATGGGAGGTGTACTTGATAATTAAACAAAGTAGATAAAGAAGACATAGAATAGATTAGAATAAAGAAGAGAGGACTAGATAGTTAAAACGTTTAAGTGGAAACTTTAGACAATACATTTACTAGTGTTGTTTAAGATTCGCTACTTGGAACAAAAAGTTCCAAGTAGCACGGGCTATGGTGAGCCCGTAGTGGACTTGTTTACTAGTGTAAAATGTCGAAGGAATGGTCTCTCCGAGAGAGAGAGAGAAGGTAAGACACTCTCACTTTTTCGCTCTTATTGTTCCTATCATTTCCCATTATTCTGTTTCAATATCCGTTAATTCCTATATTCCCCATGTTCATTCATCAACACGTGTACCTACCCGACTGGAGTCCGTGTGTCAGAGTGTGTTCTGTTTCAGCGCTGGACCGGCCGGAGAGTGATCGTTGTCAGATCCCGGTGACTGGCGTGCAGGGCAAGATCTCCCAGGCTGACATACCCTTCTCCACCCTCAACTACTCCAACGTGTACAACTACCCCGTCGACTGCACCTGGGTCATCACAGTAAAGCCCACAGAGAAGGTACAGTTCACCCCCATACAGGTGAGATGCTCTGCCTCAGCCTTTGAGTCCTGTTAGTTGTGGTCTAGGTACTCAAGTTATATTTTAACTTATAAGCATCAGCAGGGATTCAATACTCTGTGAAAACTTTCTGATGGGTTATTTGGAGGTTTATGTACAGAGGTAACTGAGATGACAAGGTTGCAGGCGAGGAGTCACAATAACGTGGCTAAAGTATGTTGACCAGACCACACACTAGAAGGTGAAGGGACGACGACATTTCGGACATCGAAACGTTCTGTCCTGGACCATTCGGACGGACCGAAACGGTTCGTCCTGGAGTATTCTCAAATCGATCGACTTGAGAATGGTCCAGGACGGACCGAAACGTCGCCGTCGTCCCTTCACCTTCTAGTGTGTGTGGTGTGGTCAACATGACAAGGTTACAGAACAATGTCTGGGTTCCGCTGTGTCCAAGCTAACTTAGGTAGTCTAACTTGACAAATGTTGCATTTGTTTATTCATTTTCTGGCGCGTGTTTCCATCGACCGCAACAACCCGCAGTCACTAACCAGCTGGAGGTTGATTGTTGACCTACAGTCGTGTTCCGTACACGTGTTCGCCTTCGAAGGGACTGTTCCCAGCCCGCACCTCCGTCCCTAGCCCCATCCCACCCGTTCCTAGCCCATCCCACTCGCCCCCAGCCCATCTGTCCTCACACCCACTCAGGCGAAGTGCAGGTCCAAGGAGGACCATCCTCCCGCAGTCTCGTTCACCCAAACATCAGGTCCATTTTGTGTCGATTTGTTCGAGGGGCGGCGGAGAGGTTGTTCATTTGGGCCAGATACACGGGGGTCCTCCCTGGGGCCCGTGGCCACCCTCAGGTACAAAGGGACCCCAGGGCCTAGTGGTGATGGTCGGGGGGGGGGAGTGCGCCTCACTATACATATATTTATTTTTATTTACTTATATATATACAAGAGTTGTTACATTCTTGCACCATTTGGTCCGGGAGACATCTCCCGTCACGCAGGGTGCAGTCGCACCTCCACAGATCTCCAGTATCAGCTCTTGATACTGGTAATGGCTCAAAAGGGCCACCACTTACGGGCTATTCATGCCCGTGCCACCTCTTGGGTGGCTTAATCTTCATCAATCAATCACATTCTTGCACAGCCACTAGCAAGCATAGCGTTTCGGGCATCATGCGGTTCTCTCTCTTGCTTTTGCATGTTTCAAAGTCGCTCTTTGACCAGACTACGGGACTGTTGTTAGAGGGATCCCGTGTGTATACCTTTCTATTGTTGCACTCAAGTTCTTCCCTCTAAACTAAATCTGCATATTTTGTGTTGCGTTCAAGTTAAATATAAACTAACTTCACTTTAACTATAAACTAACTATCCACTTTAACACACACAGAACTGGACCTTACCGCACCGGAAGAAAGGAGAAATAAGGGGGGGAGGGGACATGATAACAACATATAAGATTCTAAGGGAAACTGGCAAAGTAGCGTTGTTCAAAGCTAGGAATAGCAGAACGTGAGGTCATAGATGGGAACTGAAAACGCAAACCAGTCATAGACATCTAAAAGAAATTTTTCAGTGCTAAGAGCTGTCATTAAATGGAATAGGTTATATCCAGAAGTTGTTGAAGCTAATTCAATTACATTTTCTTATATGGACATACGATAAAAAAAGCGTGAGGAATGAGTCATTGCATTAATGTAAGAATGTTGGGAAGTCGGGACTATAGCTTAGTTTGACCCTGCAAGCAGATCTAGGTGAGCACACCCACACCCACCTCTCCGTCACTGTAGCGAGGTCCATAGATCTTAGCGTCTAAGAATGGTCTCATGATGCAGAATAGTGCCGACAGGTTTTTTTTTTTTTTTGATATATACAAGAGTTGTTACATTCTTGTAGAGCCACTAGTACGCGTAGCGTTTCGGGCAAGTCCCTGGAATACGATCCCCGCCGCGAAGAATCCTTGTTACAGCCAAGTACACATTTTACTGTTGAGTTAAACAGAGGCTACAGTTAAGGATTTGCGCCCAGTAAATCCTCCCCGGCCAGGATACGAACCCATGACAAAGAGCTCGCGGAAAGCCAGGCGAGTGTCTTACCACTACACCACGGAGACTGATAAAGGTTGGCAAGCACAACAGCTGTGAGGGTGGTAAAGGCAGTCAGTTGTGGGGTGATTGATAGCGCTTAAACTACCCAAGATGTGGCACGGGTATGAATACCCCGTAAGTGGACGGTGTGTGGCGCCATTACCAGTAACTGGAGGTCTGTGGATGGATGGGGGAAGGGTCTTCTTGGTCGCTCGCAGTTTACGTCCTGCAGGAGGCCTGGCTGTTCAGGCGGGAGGCTTATGGGTGGAGGCGTCGAGTGGCATCTGCCAAATCAGCTTCGGCGGTTCTTCGTCGTCGTGTCGTCGACCGGGTTGTCGTCGGAGTCGTCGTGGAATTCTGGCTGTCCGTCGGGGGGGAGGGGGGGTGTAGGTCTTGTAGTACTCGAGGTCGTAGTATTGATAGGTCGATGCAGTAAGAACATAACAATCAAGATAACTGCACAAGACCTAGTGGCCCATACGTGGCAGCTCCTATTTATATCTACCAGAACTCATTCTTATATATATATATGTCTAACCTACGCTTGAAACAACCAAGGGATCCTACTTCTATTATGTCACGCGGTAATAGGTTCCACAAATCAACAAATTCCCTGTTACCGAACCAATATTTACCCAGGTCTTTCCTAAATCTAAACTTATCTAAATTTATACCCATTGTTTGGTGTTGTATTAGGGCTAGACGTACGGGAGCAGGTACTTGTGTGTGTGGCCGGGTGTGGGGTCAGTAGTGGCGGTGACGGCTGGGTCGTCGCCACCTGCACCATGTTGTGGGTTGTTGATGTTATAGATTAAGCTACTCGGAACAAGTTCCAAGTAGCACGGGCTATGGTGAGCCCGTAACTTACCTGGCACAGGAGCGGGGCAAGTAGCACGGGCTATGGTGAGCCCGTAGTGGACTTACCTAGCACAGGAGCGGGGGATGTTTTGGGGTTCTTGATGATTGATGGAGATTAAGCCACCCAAGAGGCGGCACGGGCATGAATAGCCCGTAAGGATCCTTTTTGAAGGGGGGCGGCCCACCACACTTGTCTTGCAGTGTCGTCCAGCCTTCTTCCCAGTACAGGTTTGGGGCAGCTTAATGGGGCAACCGGTTATTACAGATCAATCACTGACGTGTCATTGTGGCTGGTCACTCACTGCCACTTTTAGTGTACATTTTGTAAGGACATGAAGGCCACAAGACCCAACCTTCCTGAGCCCTCCCCCCCCCCCTCCTCCCACAAGGACCGACCTTCCAGTCTCCCCCCCCCCCTCCCACAAGGACCGACCTTCCAGTCTTCCCCCCCCCCCTCCCACAAGACCCAACCTTCCTGAGCCCTCCCCCCCCTCTTCCTCCCACAAGGACCGACCTTCCAGTCTTCCCCCCCCCTCCCACAAGACCCAACCTTCCTGAGCCCCCCCCCCCTCTTCCTCCCACAAGGACCGACCTTCCAGTCTCCCCCCCCCCTCTTCCTCCCACAAGGACCGACCTTCCAGTCTCCCCCCCCCTCTTCCTCCCACAAGGACCGACCTTCCAGTCTCCCCCCCCCCTCTTCCTCCCACAAGGACCGACCTTCCAGTCTCCCCCCCCCCTCTTCCTCCCACAAGGACCGACCTTCCAGTCTCCCCCCCCCTCCCACAAGATCCGACCTTCCACATAATCAAGTGGGACAAATCTGTCAGCCCAAGGATCAAAGCAGCTCAAGTTGTTAGCGCTGACTCGACATTCCTTAATGCGCGGTAAATTCAGTTAGGTGTTCCGTCCACCGTCAGCTGATTCCTCCCCCTCCTGCACCTTGTTGACTCGTCGTCTGACTCCTCCCCCTCCTGCACCTTGTTGACTCGTCGTCTGACTCCTCCCCCTCCTGCACCTTGTTGACTCGTCGTCTGACTCCTCCCCCTCCTGCACCTTGTTGACTCGTCGTCTGACTCCTCCCCCTCCTGCACCTTGTTGACTCGTCGTCTGACTCCTCCCCCTCCTGCACCTTGTTGACTCGTCGTCTGACTCCTCCCCCTCCTGCACCTTGTTGACTCGTCGTCTGACTCCTCCCCCTCCTGCACCTTGTTGACTCGTCGTCTGACTCCTCCCCCTCCTGCACCTTGTTGACTCGTCGTCTCACTCACCGCCTTCACTCAAGATTTACTCATAATTATATCAGTATATACATTGGTTGGTAGCAGCATGTATATATTTTTTTTAAAAGGAAACCATATTTGCCAGGGACCTTAGACCAGCCGTCGGCTACCTGTCCCCTATTGAGGCCACTCGAGATGGTGGCCTCTCAGGTAAATTTATATAAATATGTATTCTTTAATGATCTCGACCGGGACAGGAAGCCGATGCACTTGTCAATATAAAGATCTAATTATGCCACGCTGCTCTTTTAAATGCCTATGGTAGTGAAGGTCTTTAGACTCTTAGAAGTCGGGTCTTGTATACTAACAATACCATTGTCATGGTTTTGTGTGATATTATAAATATACCCGGTATAGGAGAGGCATACAGTGTGTGAGAGCGAGCGAGTCTGTGTGTATTTTGTATGAGAGAGAGAGAGAACGTTTTGTTTCAGCTCTACACTTCTGTTCCGACTGCAAGTCTGCATGATTTGTTTTGTCCAAAGATCTTCAAATTTCCTACCCCAGTTATCTATGTTCTCTCTGTACCCTAATCTACGCGCGCTTTACACACACATCTTTATCTTCTATTCGATAGAAAGAGATTCATGTTCTGTACAATTGTCTTGCTCCATCTTCTGCTCATTGTTTTCTCTGCTCACAGATCTATATGTTCTTTGAGTCGTTCGAGCTGTACGAGCCCAACGAGTGCGACGTAAACTACGTAGACATCTTTGGTATGGAGACGGACCTGACGAACCGGATCAAGCACTACTGTGGCTCCGTGGCCGACCCTTTCGTCACCAACGGTAACATCATGCACTTCCGCTTCTTCGCTGTCACGAAAGCTCTCAAGTCCAAGTTCAGTGCCTGGTTCACCGCGTTCAGAGACCAGATACCGGCGGAGGGTGCTGCTGGTGGTGAGTACACTGGTGCAGGGCCTCCACTCTTCCTTATCTTCCTTCCTCCTCACGTCCCTTGGCTTCCTTCCTCCTCACATACCTTGGCTTCCTCCTTACATACCTTAACTTCTTCCTCACATACCTTGGCTTCCTTCATCCTCACATCCCTTGGCTTCCTTCATCCTCACATCCCTTGGCTTCCTTCCTCCTCACATACCTTGGCTGCCTTCCTACTCACATACCTTGGCTTCCTTCCTCCTCACATACCTTGGCTGCCTTCCTACTCACAACCTTGGCTTCCTCCTCACATACCTTGGCTTCCTTCCTCCTCACATACCTTGGCTGCCTTCCTACTCACAACCTTGGCTTCCTCCTCACATACCTTGGCTTCCTTCCTCCTCACATACCTTGGCTTCCTTCCTCCTCACATACCTTGGCTGCCTTCCTCCTCACATACCTTGGCTGCCTTCCTACTCACAACCTTGGCTTCCTTCCTCCTCACATACCTTGGCTGCCTTCCTACTCACAACCTTGGCTTCCTTCCTCCTCACATACCTTGGCTTCCTCACGTCCCTTGACTTCGTCCTCAAATACATTCCGTTACTTCCATCTACCAATACTGTTACATTTGAGATATCTTCAAAATTTATATTTCTACTGATTTTTTAGTTGAAAATGTTTAAAGCAAATTACACTTCATTAAAAAAAAACTTTTCAATGAGGGTATAAATTCACTCTTGCATATTGATAAAATACTTTTATTTAATATAGAAGAAACCAACATCAGTTCATGTAAAAATTTCTTTTTCATTGAAATGATAACTTTGGAGAAGATGTTTGTGAAGAGAGATGTGCTAACGTATATTGTGGTGGTACAGACGAGAGCCAGCAGTGTACGGACAAGGAGTACGACTGTGACGACGCCACCTGCATCCACGAGTCCCTCAGGTGTAATGGCATCAAGAACTGTCGCCACGAGTATGATGAGGAGGGCTGCAACGTGAGTGTTGGGGGGGGGGGGGGGAGGACGGGAGGGTGGGAGGACGGGAGGGTGGGAGGACGGGAGGGTGGGAGGACGGGAGGGTGGGAGGACGGGAGGGTGGGAGGACGGGAGGGTGGGAGGACGGGAGGGTGGGAGGACGGGAGGGTGGGAGGACGGGTGGGGGGGGGGAGGACGGGACGGGGGGGGAGGACGGGAGGGGGGAGGACGGGAGGGGGGAGGACGGGAGGGGGGAGGACGGGTGGGGGGAGGACGGGTGAGGGGAGGACGGGTGAGGGGAGGGGGGAGGACGGGAGGGGGGAGGACGGGAGGGGGGAGGACGGGAGGGGGGAGGACGGGAGGGGGGTGGACGGGAGGGGGGTGGACGGGAGGGGGGAGGACGGGAGGGGGGAGGACGGGAGGGGGGAGGACGGGAGGGGGGGAGGACGGGAGGGGGGAGGACGGGTGGGGGGAGGACGGGAGGGGGGAGGACGGGAGGGGGGAGGACGGGAGGGGGGAGGGGGGAGGACGGGAGGGGGGAGGACGGGAGGGGGGAGGACGGGTGGGGGGAGGACGGGTGGGGGGAGGACGGGTGGGGGGAGGACGGGTGGGGGGAGGACGGGGGGGGGAGGACGGGTGGGGGGAGGACGGGTGGGGGGAGGACGGGAGGGGGGAGGACGGGAGGGGGGGGGGTGGGAGGACGGGAGGGGGGGTGGGGGGAGGGCGGGAGGACGGGCGGGTGGGGGGAGGACGGGAGGGGGGGGGGGAGGACGGGTGGGCGGGTGGGGGGAGGACGGGGACAAATGAATCATCGTGATAAGAAAGTTGTTAAGGGGGTAAACAATACAATAAGGGGAATACAGTAAGGGGATAACTACTTACGCAGGTTACACATGTTTTTGCACAATAATAACCTTCACAGTCAGCAATGCTGCACTAATTTGCACTACTCTTACTCATTTCATAAACACATGCAATTTCTTTCACATACCATCACAAATTTCATAAGCTTACATAAAACACACGAAACACTTGACTAAATACCCATTTTGCATACATAAAAGTTCTAGTATCACAATCTCACGCAAACATTCACACTTCAACACTTAGAGAAAATTATTTTTTTTTGCACAAATTCACACAAACGTACATACTGTTACACAAATGTTCTCATACATTTATATAAAACACACTCACTAAAAACGTATAAAAAATATATATCGCACAAAAATATCACTATAAACATTTTCTGTAAGAATCTTAAATTTTTTTAAGGATTCTTAGTGTCATACTGTAACAAACTTATTTTGTAAGAATCCTTCAACTTATTTTGTAGCTAAAGTGTTTTCTGTATCAAAACTTATACTGTACTTTGTGGGAGAAACCCTTATAAGTGAAACCTTTGTTTGTAAACCTTTAAACTGTGTGTTCTGAACACACACTATTACTCTAGCCATTTCATCCTTAATACACGAACTCCTTTATCAGTCATTTTTACGAGTAAAACTTTGTTTAGATAACTATTTTAATGCAAGTACTTCTCTGAACCAACAAAATTACTCTGAGCTTCCTAAATACATATTCTCTCGCCATATGAGTTAAGCAATAGGTTTCAAATTTAAACTTTTATCTTAAGTTCTCGGTACATTATCCACTTGTTTAATTTTATATTCATCGTAATTTTACTAGTAAATCACCCCATTAAAAAACATAACTTATACATTCAATATATTGTCCTTACAAACTTTTAAGTGTAGTGTCATCTTGTAGATTAATGCTTTGCCAGTCACTCTCTGCAATATCACACGTTAAACACTTCTAAGCCTTCCACATCACCCGGGTCAAGGTACGTTGTTAAACTATACTCAGGCATTTTCAAATTTGTTTCATTACTGATCTTAACTTGGGCGCATCCGATTCCACGATCGTCGTCGCCCCTAAATCAACACATCCTAACTTGTCCTAGAGCACCGCTGAGATTCAGACAAGCTATGATTTGTCTCTAATATGTAAGATCTTACACATTTCGGACATTATATTACCATTTTTTCTCTCAAATTCAGTGTTATGTATTTTCCTCGTATTTTATTGGAAAAAAAGAGCAGTGTAGCCATTCAATCTATTATCATTAAACTTCTCGCCTCCAAAATTATATATATATATATATATATATATATATATATATATATATATATATATATATATATATATATATATATATATATATAAAATTTATTTATTTCCCCCATATTTCATTTTATTTTCCAATGGCTTATACAGCAAGTCAACTCCCAGATGATGGGACATTAGACTGTGCACAACTTTCCATACACAGTATTATCGGACTGGAGAAACGTCACAATTGGAGTACCACAGGGTTCAATTCTTGCACCGGCAATGTTCATTGGTCCTTGGTCCAATGTTCATAATGGTCCTTGGTACATGAACGATCTACTAGATGGCATACAGAATTATATGAAGATGTTTACTGATGATGCTAAGATTATAGGGAAGATAAGAAACTTTGATGATTGCAATAACCTTCAAGAAGACCTGAACAAAATAAGTATATGAAGCACCACTTGGCAAATGGAAGTTAATGTGAATAAAGTCATGTTATGGAATGTGGAATACGAGAACATAGACCTTACACAACCTATAAATTATGTGAGAAATCTTTAAATAATTTTGATAAAGAGAAAATATTGAGAGACCCGACTAAAGAGATAATGAAATTCTGATAAAGAAAGAGAGGTGGTTCTAGACAGAAAACTATCACCCGAGGACTACATTAGGAGGAGCCTATGCTACACTTTCTAACTTCAGAATTGCTTTTTTAAATACATGGATGGAGAAATATTAAAAAAATTGTTCATGACTTTTGTTAGGGTAAGGTAATTATCAAAAGAAGGCACCAAACCGGGAAGGCTATGTAGCACCATCAAAGTGCGAAATAATCAGAGGGCGCTAAATATCACCAAGGATGCCAATACGAGAACAAAAACGCATAAGGCGAACGATATCAAAAGTATCCGAGTTACCAAGAATTCTATTGAGGGACAGGCGACCACGAGGGGCGGTCGGAAAGCAAGACACACGCTCGTCCTGGAAGTCAGGACATTCACGACCGTAAGAGGGACAATGCAATTAGGACAATAAGGAGCAGGGCGGCGCTCCATCAAGTGACCATGGGTTAAGCGAGTATGGCCAATACGCAACCTCGCCAGAGCTGTTTCCCATCGCCGGTTACGGTGGTAGGAGGACGGCCACGAGGAAACACAACATTTAAGAGTACGAAGATATTGGCAAATAAAACGCAATATGGGGGAGACAATACAGTATATATATTGGAGGCGAGATGTTTGATGATAATAGATTGAATGGCTACACTGTTCTTTTCCAATAAAATACGAGGAAAATACATAACACTGAATTTGAGAGAAAAAATGGTAATATAATGTCCGAAATGTGTAAGATCTTACATATTAGAGACAAATCATAGCTTGTCTGAATCTCAGCGGTGCTCTAGGACAAGTTAGGATGTGTTGATTTAGGGGCGACGACGATCGTGGAATCGGATGCGCCCAAGTTAAGATCAGTAATGAAACAAATTTGAAAATGCCTGAGTATAGTTTAACAACGTACCTTGACCCGGGTGATGTGGAAGGCTTAGAAGTGTTTAACGTGTGATATTGCAGAGAGTGACTGGCAAAGCATTAATCTACAAGATGACACTACACTTAAAAGTTTGTAAGGACAATATATTGAATGTATAAGTTATGTTTTTTAATGGGGTGATTTACTAGTAAAATTACGATGAATATAAAATTAAACAAGTGGATAATGTACCGAGAACTTAAGATAAAAGTTTAAATTTGAAACCTATTGCTTAACTCATATGGCGAGAGAATATGTATTTAGGAAGCTCAGAGTAATTTTGTTGGTTCAGAGAAGTACTTGCATTAAAATAGTTATCTAAACAAAGTTTTACTCGTAAAAATGACTGATAAAGGAGTTCGTGTATTAAGGATGAAATGGCTAGAGTAATAGTGTGTGTTCAGAACACACAGTTTAAAGGTTTACAAACAAAGGTTTCACTTATAAGGGTTTCTCCCACAAAGTACAGTATAAGTTTTGATACAGAAAACACTTTAGCTACAAAATAAGTTGAAGGATTCTTACAAAATAAGTTTGTTACAGTATGACACTAAGAATCCTTAAAAAAATTTAAGATTCTTACAGAAAATGTTTATAGTGATATTTTTGTGCGATATATATTTTTTATACGTTTTTAGTGAGTGTGTTTATATAAATGTATGAGAACATTTGTGTAACAGTATGTACGTTTGTGTGAATTTGTGCAAAAAAAAATAATTTTCTCTAAGTGTTGAAGTGTGAATGTTTGCGTGAGATTGTGATACTAGAACTTTTATGTATGCAAAATGGGTATTTAGTCAAGTGTTTCGTGTGTTTTATGTAAGCTTATGAAATTTGTGATGGTATGTGAAAGAAATTGCATGTGTTTATGAAATGAGTAAGAGTAGTGCAAATTAGTGCAGCATTGCTGACTGTGAAGGTTATTATTGTGCAAAAACATGTGTAACCTGCGTAAGTAGTTATCCCCTTACTGTATTCCCCTTATTGTATTGTTTACCCCCTTAACACCTTTCTTATCACGATGATTCATTTGTCCCCGTCCTCCCCCCCCCCCTCCCGTCCTCCCCCCTCCCGTCCTCCCCCCACCCGTCCTCCCCCCACCCCCCTCCCGTCCTCCCCCCACACGCCCACCCGTCCTCCCCCACCCCCCCTCCCCCCACCCGTCCTCCCCCACACCCCCCTCCCGTCCTCCCCCCACACGCCCACCCGTCCTCCCCCCACCCGCCCACCCGTCCTCCCCCCACCCCCCCTCCCGTCCTCCCCCCACCCCCCCTCCCGTCCTCCCCCTCCCCCCACCCGTCCTCCCCCCTCCCCCCACCCGTCCTCCCCCCTCCCACCCACCCGTCTTCCCCCCACCCGTCCTCCCGCCCTCCCTCCCGCCTCCCCCCACCCGTCCTCCCCCCTTACAGTACAAGTTTTGATACAGAAAAAAACTTTTCTACAAAATAGGTTGAAACAACTATGGTGATGTGGTGAAGGGTTACTGGTGGTGGTGATGTGGTGAAGGGTTACTGGTGGTGGTGATGTGGTGAAGGGTTACTGGTGGTGGTGATGTGGTGAAGGGTTACTGGTGGTGGTGATGTGGTGAAGGGTTACTGGTGGTGGTGATGTGGTGAAGGGTTACTGGTGGTGGTGATGTGGTGAAGGGTTACTGGTGGTGGTGATGTGGTGAAGGGTTACTGGTGGTGATGTGGTGAAGGGTTACTGGTGGTGGTGATGTGGTGAAGGGTTACTGGTGGTGGTGATGTGGTGAAGGGTTACTGGTGGTGGTGATGGGTTACTGGTGGTGATGTGGTGAAGGGTTACTGGTGGTGGTGATGTGGTGAAGGGTTACTGGTGGTGGTGATGTGGTGAAGGGTTACTGGTGGTGGTGATGTGGTGAAGGGTTACTGGTGGTGGTGATGTGGTGAAGGGTTACTGGTGGTGGTGATGTGGTGAAGGGTTACTGGTGGTGATGTGGTGAAGGGTTACTGGTGGTGGTGATGTGGTGAAGGGTTACTGGTGGTGATGTGGTGAAGGGTTACTGGTGGTGATGTGGTGAAGGGTTACTGGTGGTGGTGATGTGATGAAGGGTTACTGGTGGTGGTGATGTGGTGAAGGGTTACTGGTGGTGGTGATGTGGTGAAGGGTTACTGGTGGTGGTGATGTGGTGAAGGGTTACTGGTGGTGATGTGGTGAAGGGTTACTGGTGATGTGGTGAAGGGTTACTGGTGATGTGGTGAAGGGTTACTGGTGGTGGTGATGTGATGAAGGGTTACTGGTGGTGATGTGGTGAAGGGTTACTGGTGGTGGTGATGTGGTGAAGGGTTACTGGTGGTGGTGATGTGGTGAAGGGTTACTGGTGGTGGTGATGTGGTGAAGGGTTACTGGTGGTGGTGATGTGGTGAAGGGTTACTGGTGATGTGGTGAAGGGTTACTGGTGATGTGATGAAGGGTTACTGGTGGTGATGTGATGAAGGGTTACTGGTGGTGGTGATGTGAAGGGTTACTGGTGGTGGTGATGTGGTGAAGGGTTACTGGTGGTGGTGATGTGGTGAAGGGTTACTGGTTGTGGCGATGTGGTGAAGGGTTACTGGTGGTGGTGAAGGGTTACTGGTGGTGGCGATGTGGTGAAGGGTTACTGGTGGTGGCGATGTGGTGAAGGGTTACTGGTGGTGGTGAAGGGTTACTGGTGGTGGCGATGTGGTGAAGGGTTACTGGTGGTGGTGAAGGGTTACTGGTGGTGGTGATGTGGTGAAGGGTTACTGGTGGTGGCGATGTGGTGAAGGGAGGTTGAGGTCTAGCTTCTGAGAACAGTCAGGTCATCCAACTGACAATAAAAAAATGGGTGATATATTGAATTACCAATTTAACTTGCATTTGATTTATTAGAGAAATTAGAGATTTATTAGAGATTTACTTGAGAACTGGCAAAAAGTTTAAAAACTTTATAGATTAGAAGTTAGTGAATAAAAAATAAAGTCAAACAATTATCAAAAGAGCTAAGTTACTGTATATCATGAATAAAGTCAATACAGGAGTAAAAACACAAGAAAAATAATATCACAGGAGTTAGATTCATTAAGAACTTTATCAATAAACACATGACTCGTAGGAGCAGGCGGGGGAAAAAAGTTCTGGTCCTGAAAATTGGGAAATGCTAAGACACACAAAGACTTAATAGGACAGTGAAGTTGTGATGGTAATGTGCAGGTCTTTGTTTCAATAAGTGCCCACCAGTTAGTTTCAGGTGGTCAGCACGTTACGTACCCACATACGTTTCCTACTTCCTGTATTGGTGGCAGGAGGAAGCTAGGCTATGGGAATATGTCAAGTCACATTTAAGAGTACGATACGTAATGTGTTATTCATAAGAGTTAACAATCACCAGTGAATGAGGATAGTACAGTATTGTGAATGACAAGCTAGGAATACTATTAACTGCAAACTGGAGACCAGGCTGAATAAAGGAGAAATACACCCTAGTTTTGAGAGAGGGGAAAGGGGTAATATTTTAAACACTACCATTGCGAACACCGTCATGTTGGCAATAAGCATAATGGGAAGGGGAGAAAGAGAAGATAAGGAGAAATGGTGAAGGGAGAGAAGAAGACAGGAAGAACAAAAACGAGTAGAGATAAGAATAAAGGGTTGAGAGGATGAAAAGGGGAAGGGAAGAAGATTGAAGGATGAGGGAAGGAGGCAGTTGGAGTGGAAAGAGGGCTCTAGGGGAGGTAAGAAGATGAAACATAAAAAAAAAAAGATGGCAAGATATCTGGAGTGAGGGTCAGGGCTTCCTGTGGCAACAACCACTGGATCACAAAGCAAGGTACTTCAAGTGCAAGGTAGGGAGTGAATCTTCAAAAGGAAGACGATTTGCGGCTTTGGGTGATCATTACATGGGTCTTGGAAGATGAAGAAAAAGGCATAAATCAACAATTAAAGACTTTACCTACATTCCGATGCAGGCAAAAATGGAAAAAATGTCACCATCGAGGAGTCTGATCGAACACCAGGAACCAATATGGGTACGATTCCTTAATATTTGCTTCACCCTAGCCCAGATAGATCAGTAATTTGAGTCTGCCAGGCCACACTGAACATCCCATTTTGCCTCTATCATAGTAGTATTCTTCATCCAAAAGCTGATACATCTCCCAGATGAAGGGAAATGAATAATACAGGTCTTCATATACAACAAGCACATGGGTTGTGTGAAACCACAAGAGAAAATTTTTCTCATTCCTCACCTTAGGCCAGGAGGAACTTCACAAGCCACTCTTGACTCTCCCTCAGATCATCACAACACTCAAAGCCCTCCCTTGCCATGTCAAAACACCAGCCAAGGGCACAAAAAAGATGAAAACATAATGTAGAGGCATCAAATGAAAATTAGAAATGTTGTGAAAGAAAGTGAGAAAGCAAATAGGATAGAAGCAACATGAAAATTAGGGTGGAACAGGAGAAAAGAAAAAAATATTGCCAGATAAAAAGTAATGTTGTAACAGGCTGAAGAACAATTGTGAACTAGAGAAAGAGCAGAGTTGGCATTTCCTTGTCACCCCCCTCTCCCTCCCACTTTTTATATTTTGGAACTTTCAATAAACCTTATTATGACTTGTTCTATAAAAACTACTAATAACTATCAAATATCTGACATGCAGTAATCTTCCCCTCCTGCAGTCACTGAAGAAGCTAAAGTTCGACATCCGGTCTGAACACATAATCATCATCCTGACGCTTGGGTGTGGCCTGCTGGGTGGTATGTGCTTCGCTATGTGCTTCAACTGCATTAGAAAACTCATCAGAGATGGCAGGCAGATACATGTATGTTTTTGGTTTGTTTTTTAATTAAGGAGTATGTTTTCTTTCTCTCGCTTTAATCTTTGTTTTCTTTCGTGTCAATTTACATATTTTTGTGATTTGTCAGTACTGTATATCCTCCTCATCATAAATTTCTCTAGGTAATTTCTTACCTTCGTGCCAAACATACTTCCAGAAAGCTTTTTTTCACATCCCTTGCAATGCATAATGTTGAAGGTCTTCTGCAGTTTTTCCTTTTTTATCCTCACATGATGTGCACTTTTTTAGTAGTTGGGCTTTGTCTTCTAAAATTCACCAGCTGATAATCCTTCTTAAGTGTGTGAAAGATACAGTACAGCATGGCAGAGAAGTATAAAAATGTGAAGTCTGGGGTGTGAAGATGATTAAACGAAACAATTTATGATTGTTTTTCTTCATGTAAAATATACACGTAAAATTTTCTACATGTAAAATATACACGTAAAATTTTCTACATGTAAAATATACACGTAAAATTTTCTACATGTAAAATTTAACATGTTTTTCTACATGTAAAATATAATAAAGAGAAGGAATATTAAAGATTGAAGTGCAAGGGATTAGACTTGGGGAAGAGGCAACTAATACTATGGCCAGGCTCCTGCATACAGGGAAGCTTTGTTACAGAGAAGGAAGGTGAATTTTGTAGTGTGTTACATGGACCCTGGAAAAGAATCCAAAATGATAAGCCAGTAGCCATGGTGAACCACATAGGAATCTGTCACTGCATTCTGCCAAAGCAGCTCTACCAGCCTGGAACTGCATCCAAGTAGTAGAGGGGCCTGACAACCGAGTTGACAGCTGCTACGGGCTGCTTCCTGGGGATGTGTAACAAAAAGAAGGCCTGGTCGAGGGCTGGGCCGCGGGAACGCTAAGCCCCGAAATCATCTCAAGATAACCTCAAGATAAGTAGCAGTAAACAACAAGTCTGAGGAAACCCCAGACAATAACCCCAAGACCAACCTATTGCAGCTCAAAGTTCTTATGAGTTACACAGGAATAGGGAATCTCTGCAAAGTGGGTATGAGCCCTGGAAAGTGGGTATGAGCCCTGGAGTCCTCTGCAATCAATGCCGAAGGCATCTTAGACACCTGGACATGAAGCTGCCAAGCTCTAATAACCTGGGAAGTACTAGTATTCGAGTAAACAGGGCACTATTTACCAGCTTGAAGGAAAAGTCCCCAAAACAGATATGAAATACGAACAACCTCCTCCTAGCCAAGTGCCTGTATACAGTAAAAAAGCTGTTACATATCCAAAGAAAATAAAAGGTTGTATGCAACAATGATGAAGTCAGGGACCTAATTATAACCAGGAAGAGAATCCAAACTTAAAAGACTCCGGATCCAGTTCAGATGCAAGGGGCCCAGTTGTGTAGCAGTTACAAAAGTCAGCCCCATTAGTCAAACTTGGAGGAAAACCAGATAATTCAAGCCTGTGTAGGAGGATGTAATCCAGCTCGTGGATTTGGACTTGGAAATGCACACATGGGTAAGTAGTAGTAGTCCAGCTCATACTGGGATGGGGCATAAGAAAGCACTTCCATTCTGAAAAACAAACCCTCAGTCAGAAAAATTCCACAGCGGGTCAAAAGGCAGCGAATGACGCCTTCGGCAACCCCAAATCCTTGAGGCCGTCTGCCACAAAAGAGGAGATTGGGGCAGAGCTTACAGTTCTCCCAGTCATGGAAGATGGAAAAAAGACAGGATGTTAACCAGGAAAGCCCCAAATCTAGCAAGGTGAGTCCTCGGGAACATATCAAAGATACAAGGAAGTGAAGAAAGAGAAAGTGGGTCCCAAAGCATGAGATTCCCACCTGAGGAGACAGCATTCTAGATGTCATGATAACAACAGAAGAGGGCAGCATTGATCGAATCCGGGTAGAAGAGCACCTCACCCTTATAAACAGCTCCTATATAATGAGAGGGAATACAAGCCCAGAAACTTCTATGAAGGTTCAAGATGATGACTGCTTTGCTTCTGAAGAGACTATCAAAGAATGAGAGAGTGACTGTAAAACATTTCTTGGAGAAAGTTAATGAACTTTTAACAGTTAAGGTCAACCTCTGGAATAAGTATCAATCCACTAAAAATACTGTATTGTAAAATATGACACACAAAAGGGGCATCGAATGCAGCCACACAAGAAATCTGAGTAGGAAAGAAAATTACCACAAACCATCAAGAAAGATGCCAGGTCATATTATGCATGTACAAGGAGTAAAAAATAGACAACAGTGGTCAACACAGTTGGGTCACAACAAAGATTAGCAAATGCTGTTCAATATTGAAAAATGTAAGATTTTAGATGTATGGTATAATAATACACCATAACTACTAGTTAGTGATTTTGCTACTGTACTACACCTACATTATCAACACTCTCCCAGCTTAACCAACACTGAATACATTACTGTAGTACCTAATTAATTCTGTGGTAAACACATTCTCAATAAACACAACTTTTTTATAATCATCAATGTTCTTTACGTCAGCAAATAATTGTCCAACATAAAGAACTTTTAAAATATGCATATTTGTCAAGGTGCGTTAACAGCCGAAATTGCAGCACTACCCACCATATATTCCCAGTCCATTTGACACCCAATATCTTTTATTTCAAAGGTTTGTTATCCAGTTTGTGACCATGACACAACATTTTCCTTCAGTATATTATTGCAGTAATATTAATAGTCAATTTAGTACTGTACTCTTGTGTTAAAACCTTCTTAATAAAAACATAGGTTCTCATTGCGACACCGTATCTACTAATTTAGACAATGTAAAAAAATTTTTTTTTACTTGGTATTACTATTCAGACATATATAATGATTCTATACAAATTATTACAGTATACAGTATCTTTGACAAATTATGCTTAAATGCCATTTTTGCCTAGTTTTACATGAAACTCAAAATTGCCAATGTACGGTGTCATACTTTTGGTACTGTACTTATACAAACAAAAAGTAATAAAAGTTGTCTTCTAATGTAAAAGTGGATATTATACATAAACTTAAAGAAGCTTGTAAATATTAAAAACAGTAACTTTATACTTACATTTCTCACAGGAAAATATTCGTCGATCCCGGGAACAACTGGAGGAACGAAGTCAGAGGAGCCAGAGCATGTCTCTCACAGCATCACCTCAGGCAGTTCATCGACCCACAATGAATGAAAGTGGTCCTTGGTACATTTCTGATGCTAAAACCAATGGCCATCCCTGCATTAGACCAGAATCTGAATCCGAGAGTGAAGGTGATGAGGATGAGGATGAAGAGGAAATTGATGACATGGAGGAATCTTGTGTAGAAATGCGTGATTGCGAATGTCAAACAAGGGACTCACTACTCACTCAGAGAGATTCAAGTCAGACTCAACTGCCCATGACACCTCCCCCACCACCACCACCAAATAGACGTCCACCTGGCCTTCCACCACTAAGTCCTGGCCCCCCTCCTTCAGTGCCCACACCACCACCTCCCCCTGGTTCCCATTATGGCCGTACTCAAGCAGGACCATCGGGTCCACCATCGGATCACTATGTCACTTATGGAAGATCACCGAAACCACGACACAATGATCCCTATGAAGTAGACGACCAGTCGGATGACCCTTATGCTCAAAGATACCGTGCTGAGGCTGTTATTGAGATGAGGGAGCGAGGACCTTATGAACCTACCAAATCACCTAAAACAACACCTGATGTTCTAGCTACACATTGAAATTACAAACTTGTTAGGTCTTGTCATAAAATTATTACATCTCCAATAGGAGATGTGCTGTACATGACTCAGTTGTTAAGAGTTTACCTGTACCTACTGTGCCCTCTTGATATATATTACTCAAGATGAGCAGACTTATGGTAATTAAAAGTTACTGTAAGACAATTTAAGATAGGTAGTCAACAAGCCTTTCTTAATGTGGACCTTATGGTTCCATGTTATCGCCTTTCCGTTTCCCTTGTGTCTTTGACAGCTATTGACGTGGTAGTCAGTGGCAGAAAAAGCCTCAGCCCTTGGCTCTTAAAATAAAGCAAAAAATTATCCTCATCAGAGAATGATATATCTGGTGTGAATACAGTAATTTCCTGCATTATACCTCATTTTGTATATAATTTATATATTTGTTTTACCGACACACACAAATGTACCTTTAAGTTTGAAAATGCCCCTGTATTATTTTCAGGAAAACTACACATTTCACAAATGGTTTTTGTGGCCACGTTCAGGTGCCAACAATGCCATACTAAGTCAGGTGTTTTGGAGACTCAAATGGTTTAAGAAACAATGTTCTTGTTAACATTTACAGTTTTCGTAATTTGAAAATTATTTATTTTACAGTACTAGAGAAAATATAGTAGTATTGAATTAATATGTTAAACATAGGTGTATTTTTTTATACTTTGATTCTGCTGCCAACTATAATGTCAAAAATCTTTAGACAATTGTTTGGGAATCATGATAACCAAGAACTAATTTCTGAAGCCTGGATATGAAAACTGTGCCAGGCATTTATGAATTATATATATATTGTTTTTAAACTTGTAAAAGGTTTAAAACTAAGGAACTATTTTATACTTTTAAGATACCATGTTGATTTTGTTTGAAATATGAGAATGATAGCCGAATTTAATGCAATAAATAGTATTTGAAAACTTGCATTTATAATGACTATATGTGCATATCGATTTACATTTGTAAATACTTTAAGATTATAATTATATTAGCATTTTTTCCATAAAGACAATCAATGTAGGTGTTGGAAAATGTACCAGGGTCGTGGTGTAAGACATTTTATACTGCCTTTTTTATCAAAATGATTTGAGTTTAAGTCTAGGCATATATTATTAATTATTGTGACTAATAAGGATGTGATAACACATCATATGCAAGGGATTAGAAACAATTCAGTCTATCAATTCTTGATTTTGCTAGCACTGTACAAGTTCTTGAGTAATCTCAACATTTATAGCCATTTTAATTGAAAAATTAATTTGAATAATGGTTTAATGTACCATGCATTAGGTAGCAAATTATTAATAATTTGACTAAATAAATATGTACTGTAGCTTACATGGTCTCTATTTTCCGAGAGCGTGTAACCAGGCAATCCCCAACTTACAAGCTCAGAACCAGATTTTCCATTATCACACTGCAGTGTAAATGGAGTACCGTAAATAGTTGGTTAAGTTCTTGTTAATTTGTCATTATAAATGTTGTCCGTAAGTAGTAGTACAGTGTATGGTTTCAACCTTCATTAAAATTACAGTATATATTTTCATTGCACATTAAATAATAGTATATGCCTGGACCGTTTTTAAGAATACACTGGTGCTTGTACAAAAGGTAGGTAGGAAGTCTTCCACTAGATTTTGTCGGGTGTGATTAATTGAAATAATTATTCACAGCCTTTTTCTTGTCTCTTCAAGCTGTATGAGCAGCAGAAGGTTTTTGTATTCCCCCTCTTATTTTTTAAGAGGTTTATTTTATATTTGATCAAGAAATGCATCTCCCTACTTCCTTTGTTCACGGGAAGAGAGCCCATCTAATAGTAGTTTTTGGAAGACTAATTATTTAGTTTTGAAGAAAAATGAATCCAGCTACCTTAATGAAAGCCATTTAAACATTTGTATAGATTTTTTTTTTAAATGTAGGAAGTACAATACAGTATTGTATTATACTCAAAGTTGGTTATAGTGTTTGTTTCCTGGCATGCACTTTACAAGTTATAATTATATTGTATAGTAGTTTGCCTTGTTTTAGGGCTGAACATTATGTAAATGCCTCTTTTTTTTCAGGTAAATTGACAAAGCCCTTATATGAATGTTGTATCATTCTAATGTTTTAATGTAAATTAATTAGTGTCTCTGAAAATCAAAATTTTTGTGCAAGTGAGCAATCAAAAAATGATACAGATATGCTATAGTTTGTCAGACCCAGTGGGAACAGATGTTCAAGACAAAGAGGAAGACACAATAGCGGATAATTCAAATAAAATTATATTGTTAATGTATGTATGAGCTATACAACTAGATTACTCCCTAAAGCAAACAAACTCCCTAGTATGTTTATGGTTAATTGTGGTAGACTGACAATTTGCATTTTATGCAGAAGGTATCTTTGAAGACTACCTGCAGGGTTATGCTATGCTACACACAATGGAGAATACTCAATCCAGCCCAGAGTTATGCCCAGAAATCACATTCCAGAAAACGCAAAAGCTCTTTCAAACACTTACTTGGCAATCTGAGGACTGCAGTTAGCATTCTTACTAATTGCTGGTTGACCCACCCAGCAACTACACCTGACTGCCACCATCTCACAAACAAAGCTTTCCTTGACATTAGCTACATCATCTGACTAGCCAGTGTGCTTTGTGTGTGCCATGTGTAGGACCAGAATTCGGCTGAGTGACTTAAGAAATGAAAGGTTTACCAAAGGTTTACCATGCAGCAAACGCACACTATATTTACACAAAACGACACAATCAGTACAGTATATACATATTGAGTGTATCTCTGAAACAGTCAATGATGCACAAGGCAAATTTGCATTCTACGCACCAAGTACACAGATTTTTCACTTCCTCTCTCTTTATTGCGTGTGCTTGTAAACATAAGCATGTTTACCTTTGTCACGTGTTCCTGTACTTGGCCTGTAACCAAGCATGTGTAGCAAAAAGGCATCTTTGTAACCCAGTCTGTCCGGAGCAGCATGAGGCATTGTTGGCACAAAAGCTCTCGTCACAACACTATTTTCCTGGCCAAACTTCACAACTGTGACAACAGAGCAAGACTAAAATTATCAATTAGTGGTTTGTTGCCTAATTTCACCAAATAAATGTTGAAATAGTTCAACAATTACATCCACAAGGTGAAAAACAATTTCTTGATCCATTTCACAAATTTCTGCACACGACAGTGCCAACCATCACATCACATTTATCTGTTAATCGCATATTTACTGTATTCAGTATTGTAGTCCATGACACAATTTGGTTTATACACTTTACCATGTGTTGCAAAGTTCACTGTGCCACTGTCTACCATTTCACCAGTGTGGTTCACTGTCAACATTAACTTCGCATATGTCTTTCCAACGCACTCATAAAACATTGTCGCTTTTTCTGAACTGACAGTCACCCACTGAAATACCAGTACCAAACATATGCATTTCTCTCCTATGTGGCTTTACTGTGCCACAGACTTTAGTCTTCTGCTCAAGAAAGAACATAGCAAAGGGCTGGTAAAATAACTATCAATATACAGAATATGCCCCCTGTTCAGTAGTAGTTCCATGAGAATTTTTATCACACTGCCAGAAAACTCATGAGGATTGTGACCAGGCATGTCTATATCAGCACCAAAATATAATATCATATCTACAGTATCACTATTCCAATTTCACAATCACAGAGCACATAGAATTTCTGTTCAAACCTGTGCCATTTCAATGGGATATACAGTACTGCTTCAAAGCAAGATGCCTCTTGAAAAGAATTGAACAGAATTAAAGATTCATCAATCACTATATTCTGTCCTGGTACAAAAAATCTCAGAACTTTTCTCTGAGATCACTGAACACTTTCCTCAGTCTATTGTTTTGAACCACATTTTCATTGTTTTCAAAATATAGGCACCTTAGAAGTAGCAGGAACCTGTCATGTGACATGTACTTCCCAAATACCGGGAGTTGAAACAATGCTCTGTGTGTTCCAATAATCCTGGATGACATGTTTCATCATCATACACAGCCCAAGAAAAACATACATTTCAGCTAGTTTCTTTCCTACGTGTCAAACATGAAGCCAGTAATAAGCCAACTGTATCGAGTTGCACTGCATACTGGTTGGTTTCCCCAAGATGTTTCATGAACAGCTCATCAAAATAAGCCATAAAACATTAACTTTCATTTATATTGTCACCAGTACACTACTGTATTTGGGAAAATGTCTTATACCAAAATATGTGTTATCAAATGTCAGTGCTGTATTTCTGGCACAAAATTCACAATCTTCCCACAGGAGTACTCTCATGCTATATTCCATACAGACATTTGAGCTTAGGGTTTCTGAAAATTGACCATGTTGGCAGTACCTTCCCTAAATCCCTCTCCTTCATCAACATCAGTCACGTTTGAATGCTTATTCTTGCTGCTCAAGGGATTTAAATGCCAGGACACAGTTCCGATGCCACTGGATATTCCTGCCATGAAATCAAGCTTTGAGTAAATTTGAAATAATTTTTCTAATTAAGTCACTTGGTTGCTATCAGACCTTACCTTTTGTCTGAGCTCTCATGGGGTTGAGTAGTACAGTATTCCTGGCGGCTCAGTTCAATTATGAGGTGGCTCTAGTCAGGGCACCCTGTGTTAACTCAGTTGATGCAGTTTTGTGGTCCAGTGAAGCAGTTGGATAAAGCAATGGAAATTTGTGAGATTGCTATTTGCCGTTCAGTGTTGCCAATTAATGATTGGAAGGGATTTAAAATGAAGTAACGTAGTTTCTGGAACTCTCTCCAAAATGGATCGAGTATTTTCCATCTCTCTAGCATCAGTATGACTTAGTAGGGACAGTCTGAAAAGATTCCCACCCAGTGTCAGATTACTCAATAGTGTTCCCTAGGCAAGTGCCTATTACGCTTAGGAAGTACAGTAATTAAAAAAAATAAATACTGGTTTTTATGATTCTAAATGTTCAGTCTGTGGCACATTAAAAATTACGAAGACAGCCCCAATGGGTCTATGCCAATGTGTCCCAAAGAGTCTAAATATGCTGTTACATTACATCCGTGTTATGCAATGGCAGATTTTTTACCGGAACTGACTAGGCATTGCTCTGTCCTGGGGCAAGGTGAGTGACATGCTTAGTGCTTCTAATTTGACTCAAATCCTGATATTTAAAAATGCAAATGAAATCCCAGAAATTTGGTAATTAAAAAGGCAAATATTTACAGAGGAATTACCAAGAGACTCTAGAGAAAGGAAAAACACACCAGAGGAAAAATCCAGTACATTATGTTACAATACTATATTAAAATATGACCATCAGTTAACTAAAATGATAATTCATAACTGAAAACATCAAGTAATACAAATAGGAAGTTTTTAATATTATACAGTACACCCTCCAAAACTCAGACCTCTGTATTAAGGATCCCTCTTGCCAGCGGACCAAATTTCAGCAGTGAAATCTAGACTGCCTGTTTATCACGTAAAGTCATTTCCAGCATGTGTGTATAATACTATGGTTATGTATAATTTATGTATAACTACCATACTTATATACTGTACTGTGTACAGTATAGATATATACACACACACACACTATACATACCTTACATGAAATCTAACCTATTATTATTTCAAAGATAACTTTGTAATTATTATTATTCCATTATATATGAAGGATGCCAGACTAGAATGTATTTATTGAAGGGAAATAGTTTACTAAAGAGCAAAAGCGTTCCTAGACAAGAAGCGGCCAGCATAAACAAAATGAAGGTTAGAGTAAACTAGTAATTATCAAAAGAAAGCTCTATGCCAGTATTCTGTATAACACTATCTACACTACAGATCATTACAATGATCCTAGAGGTTCAGAATGCTAATCTTAAGAGTAAAAAAGACAAAATATTCAATATCAAAAGAGTCAAATTGATTAAGGATTACATAGCAAGACTTGTGGCCTGTAGGAAAAGAGAAAAGCAAAATTTTAAGTTAATGAAAATTAAGATATTATATTAGATGAGTGACCAAGTGGAAGAATGCAATTCTGAGAGTAAAGTGCAGGTCTGTGTTCCATTACATGCTCATGAGTTACAGGAGCAAGGCAGTATACAGTATAATGCAAGGATGAAGTTATATAAATTGGAGTTTTACAATGAAAATGAATGGCAATTTATTTCCTATCTATAGATGCCCGTTGCATTAGGTATTTGATGTGCTTATACGAACCAATACACACAGGTTGGATATTGCACTAAAAGAGGGAATATGAAACAGAGTAAGAGGTGATCAAAACATTAGGGATTAAGTATTGAACTTGGATGCTTTGGCCCAGAAAAGAAAATTGATAAAATATGATTTGATATTTATAGGAAGATCAGAAAACAAAAGCCAGAGAACACGCAGTGTCTGTAACAGTTGTATAAGAATCAAAATGCTTGTAAGGACAAGTTACATTTGCACTATTCTTGTGGAATTTTTATCCTATACCAGTTATAAATATACACAATTTTGTAAATAATAATTAGAATGTTCAATCCATAGGCTTGATATATATTTGTTATTGGTGTATGCGTAATCACGAATGACAGAAGCTATCTACCATCTTCAATAATGGGATTACTGTATAGTGTTAAATTCACTGGACTATATTCCAGATTTTCAATGTACAGATACTACAATATACTGAAATAAAAAAAAAAAAAAAAAAGGCACTACAAGACAATAGCAGTATAGTGACACCAACTGGTAAAAAATGGTCGTTTTATATTTATTTTACAGTAATTATTTTTGCCGAGTTTGTATGAGTAAGTGTATCAGTTATCTATGATGCTTTATTTATTATTCATTTATTTATATATACAAGAGTTCTTACATTCTTGTAAAGCCACTAGCACGCATAGCAGTTCAGGCAGGTCCTTAATCCAAATTTTCCTCGGAATACGACCTGCCAAATTGTTTAACAACCAGGTACCCATTCACTGCTGGGTGAACTGAGGCTACAGTTAAGGACTGGCAGGACCCCAGTCAATCCTTCCCGGTCAGGATACGAACCCAGGCCAAAGCTTTCGTGAAGCGCTGGGCGAGTGTCTTACCACTGCGCCACGGGGACTGTACCTTCATTCTTTGTGATGGAACTTAAATACTGTACTGTAGTTGAAAATTGGTTGCCCTAAGTTTTTTTTTTTAATTCAAAGTTTATGAACTGTACCTTGTAAATAACCAAATAAACGTTATTCTAATACTATTTATGTCATGAACTCTACAGTATCTCTACAACCTCT